ATTTTTATACTCCATTAATTTTTCTAACAACCTTTCAGTGTTGATTCAGCAGATGTCAAATAACATAAATTCATTGTTTCATCATGTGGAGATTTGGTAAAGGAAACAAGATTTTGCAGATTATTATGATTTGACGTATTTCTTGACAGTATTCATAGGACCACGAAATATCAGAGAATGTCCAGTGTCTTGTTTTACATGGGCAGTCTGGGGGAATATTGATGATTGTCAGATTGTCAGATTGTAAGGGATGGACAAGATGACACATGACACCTCTGTCATGCCATTTAGTGCCAAATTATCATACTCTTCCCTCAGCTACACACAGGCGTCTATTGATCATCGGAGGAGATGGTGAAAAAAGCAGGCCAATTCATCTTTAGTATATATATCCTGGTCTCATGATGTCTTGTGTTGAAATACCAGTTACTGTGTTTGGTTCTTCTGTTCTTCTGTTGTATTACTACATATTGTTGTATAAGTAAGTCGTTCTTCTGTTGAAAACCTGTGGTCATATGTTGTATTTCTAAGTGGTTCTCCAGTTATATAACTGCGGTCCTTCTGTTGTACAAATGTACTTCTTCTGTTGTACAAATGTACTTCTTCTGTTGTACAAATGTGGTTCTTCTGTTGTACAAGTGTGGTTCTTCTGTTATATAACTGCGGTTCTTCTGTTGTATAAATGTAGTTCTTCTGCTGTACAAATGTGGTTCTTCTGTTGTATAATGTGGTTCTTCTGTTGTATAATGTGGTTCTTCTGTTGTATAATGTGGTTCTTCTGTTGTATAATGTGGTTCTCCTGTTGTATAATGTGGTTCTTCTGTTGTATAATGTGGTTCTCCTGTTGTACAAATGTACTTCTTCTGTTGTACAAATGTACTTCTTCTGTTGTACAAATGTGGTTCTTCTGTTGTACAAGTGTGGTTCTTCTGTTATATAACTGCGGTTCTTCTGTTGTATAAATGTAGTTCTTCTGCTGTACAAATGTGGTTCTTCTGTTGTATAATGTGGTTCTTCTGTTGTATAATGTGGTTCTTCTGTTGTATAATGTGGTTCTTCTGTTGTATAATGTGGTTCTTCTGTTGTATAATGTGGTTCTTCTGTTGTACAAATGTACTTCTTCTGTTGTATAATGTGGTTCTTCTGTTGTATAATGTGGTTCTTCTGTTGTATAATGTGGTTCTCCTGTTGTATAATGTGGTTCTTCAGTTGTACAAATGTGGTTCTGTTGTATAAATGTGATTCTTCAGTTGTACAAATGTGGTTCTTCAGTTGTACAAATGTGGTTCTGTTGTACAAATGTGGTTCTCCTGTTGTACAAATGTGGTTGTCCTGTTGTACAAATGTGGTTCTCCTGTTGTACAAATGCGGTTCTCCTGTTGCATAATGTGGTTCTTCAGTTGTATAAATGTGGACCTTTGTTGTATTTCTTTGTTTTCACTTTTTACCCAACTGTATATTGTTATGTTCATCTAAATCATGCAAGACATAAAGAACTCGATAAAGATGTTTATGCACGTCTTTACTGAAATTCAAACAAATGTTTTTTATCCTCTCAGCATGTAAACTGTCCGGTGCCATGGCAACCAGTTTGGCCATGCAATTAGGAGCGGGATATGATTAGTGCCGGTGCTAATGATGACCTTTCTTTCACCGCCAGTCCACTCTTCTTACCTTTGCGTTTTCTCAGTTTACATCGTTACCTGTAATACGAGTTAATGAGGCAGGTAAAAGCACTTAATGCCAGTTTTGTCCAGCTTCACAGATGAAACCTCTGCTCTTGAATCCATGATTGTGAGTGAAGTTGATTTGTATCCATTATTGTCTTGTGCCACATGTTAGAAAATAACAATTTTTGGTTTTAATGGTTTTTAAAACAAGATATGGCAACCTGGCAAAACGTGTGTGATTACACACTCTGTATGTGAGGAATAACAGTGGTAATACATTCATTGTTTGTCAGGCCCATTATTCCAATGTTTTTAATGTCTGCATTGGTAATGTGAACAAAATCCATCCCTGGTGTCCACAGTAGTAAGGGGGTGACAGTAGTGGTGCAAGATCATGAAAGAAAGTGTTAATTTAATTATATTAGGTGAACAACAGTAAGAAGTAGTGTGGTCCCCACCCAATACCTCCAAGTAAGAAGTAGTGTGGTCCCCACCCAATCCCCTCCAATACTCCCTTGGTCCCCACCCAATACTCCTTGGTCCCCATCCAATACCCCTTGGTCCCCATCCAATACTCCTTGGTCCCCATCCAATACCTCCTTGGTCCCCACCCAATACTCCTTGGTCCCCACCCAACCCTTGGTACTACCCTTGGTCCCCACCCAATACTCCTTGGTCCCCACCCAATACTCCTTGGTCCCCTCCAATACTCCACCCAATACCTTGGTCCCCACCCAATACCCTTGGTCCCCACCCAATACTCCTTGGTCCCCATCCAATACTCCTTGGTCCCCACCCAATACTCCTTGGTCCCCTCCCAATACTCCTTGGTCCCCACCCAATACTCCTTGGTCCCCACCCAATACTCCTTGGTCCCCACCCAATACTCCTTGGTCCCCCCAATACTCCTTGGTCCCCACCCAATACCCCTTGGTCCCCACCCAATACTCCTTGGTCCCCACCCAATACTCCTTGGTCCCCACCCAATACTCCTTGGTCCCCACCCAATACTCCTTGGTCCCCACCCAATACTCCTTGGTCCCCACCCAATACCTCCTTGGTCCCCACCCAATACCCCTTGGTCCCACCCAATACTCCTTGGTCCCCACCCAATACCCTTGGTCCCCACCCAATACCTTGGTCACCCAACCAATACCCTCCTTGGTCCCCACCCAATACTCCTTGGTCCCCACCCAATACTCCTTGGTCCCCACCCAATACCCCTTGGTTCCCACCCAATACTCCTTGGTCCTCACCCAATACTCCTTGGTCCCCACCCAATACTCCTTGGTCCCCATCCAATACCTCCTTGGTCCCCACCCAATACTACTCCCCTCCTTGGTCCCCTTGGTCCCTCACCCAATACTCCTTGGTCCCCACCCAATACTCCTTGGTCCCCACCCAATACTCCTTGGTCCCCACCCAATACTCCTTGGTCCCCACCCAATACTCCTTGGTCCCCACCCAATACTCCTTGGTCTCCACCCAATACTCCTTGGTCTCCACCCAATACTCCTTGGTCTCCTCCCAATACTCCTTGGTCCCCACCCAATACTCCTTGGTCCCCACCCAATACCCCTTGGTCCCCACCCAATACTCCTTGGTCCCCACCCTTACTCCTTGGTCCCCACCCAATACTCCTTGGTCCCCACCCAATACCCCTTGGTCCCCACCCAATACTCCTTGGTCCCCACCCAATACTCCTTGGTCCCCACCCAATACTCCTTGGTCCCTCCCAATACTCCTTGGTCCCCACCCAATACTCCTTGGTCCCCACCCAATACTCCTTGGTCCCTCACCCAATACTCCTTGGTCCCCACCCAATACCTCCTTGGTCCCCACCCAATACTCCTTGGTCCCCACCCAATACTCCTTGGTCTCCTCCCCCCAATACCCAATACTCCTTGGTCCTCACCCACACTCCTTGGTCCTCCTGTGAACCCCACCCAATACTCCTTGGTCCCCACCCAATACCCTTCCTTGGTCCCCACCCAATACTCCTTGGTCCCCACCCAATACTCCTTGGTCCCCACCCAATACTCCTTGGTCCTCACCCAATACTTGGTCCCCACCCAATACCCCCCACCCAATACTCCTTGGTCCCCACCCAATACTCCTTGGTCTCCACCAATACTCCTTGAACCCATCCAACTCACTTGGTCCCCACCCAATACATCCCTGGTCCCCTCCCCCAATACTCCTTGGTCCCCCCCACCCATCCAATACTCCTTCCCCACCCACTCCCTTGGTCCCCACCCAATACTCCTTGGTCCCCACCCAATACTCCTTGGTCCCTCCACCCAATACTCCTTGGTCCCCCCAATACTCCTTGGTACCCTTGGTCTCCACCCAATACCTCCTTGGTCCCCACCCAACTCCTTGGTCCCACCCAATACCTTGGTCCCCATCCAATATACTCCTTGGTCTCCTCCCAATACCCTCCTTGGTCCCCACCCAATACCCTTGGTCCCCACCCAATACTCCTTGGTCTCCACCCATACTCCTTGGTCCCCTCCCAATACTCCTTGGTCCCCTCCCAATACTCCTTGGTCTCCACCCAATACTCCTTGGTCCCCACCCAATACTCCTTGGTCCCCACCCAATACTCCTTGGTCCCCACCCAATACTCCTTGGTCTCCTCACCCAATACCCTTGGTGGTCCCACCCAATACTCCTTGGTCCCCACCCAATACTCCTTGGTCCCCACCCAATATTCCTTGGTCTCCTCCCAATACTCCTTGGTCCCCACCCAATACCCTGTGAACCCATCCAATATCCTTGGTCTCCACCCAATACTCCTTGGTCCCCATCCAATATTCCTTGGTCCCCACCCAATACTCCTTGGTCCCCACCCATTACTCCTTGGTCCCCACCCATTACTCCTTGGTCCCACCAACAACTGGAAAGCTGCATAGTGGTATAGCCTAGTGAATGGATCCATAAACTCACTTACTCTAAAACATGCACGCACTTGCACACACACATACAAACACATGTACACACGCATACATGCACTCACACACACAGACACAGAGGCCAAGTGATACAAGGTGACAGTTGTGTATACAATGATTACACTATACAGCAGAACACCTGGCTGCTCCTACAGCCTCTAGTAAGGATGTTATAGCATCATTCCATGTAGTGTAAATCAGTCCGAGGATGTGTTTACAAATGCCCACTCTTCCATGAGTAGCCCCAGTGGGCTTATGTAGAGCACAAACCATTTATCCAAGCAATAATTCCCAGATTTGTAGCCATGTGCCCTCAGCAAGACACTTATCACCTCGCTGAGTCTAGTGATGTATCTAGTTGATGAACACTGCCTACCTGTTGATGGAGGCCCCAGTGCCCAGTATCCTCCCCTGTCATCTGTTGAACATCCAGCTGGTCACCGTCGCTGCCACCAAACTGTTATCGACTTATGACTGTCTGCTCACGGGTTTCAATCACAACCTATAAGCTGTTGCACTAAAGCCATACATTCAGCTCTCAGCGATGACTATTTTCATGAAACAGAGATGAAAGACTACCATGGATGGACTAATCATTTGTCTGTTATGTAGTTCCTTTTTTACGAGTCAGTGCTAAGAGCAACAAGTGTGTGTATCGGAGAGCGTGCAGTAATATTGATCTGTGTTGAGTGCCAGATGAGGAGACAGCAGGTGCCTTAGGAACAACACAAGCTTCATCAGAGGGACAAGCAAATTAACATTTGGGACTTTACGGAGGAGGTGCCATTGACAAGGTGGAGTCAGCTGGAGGGACTCACAGGCTGCCCGTCATATACGATTCATGCTGATCACTTTATAGAAATTCCGGTTTGATTTCTATGGTAACCTGCACTAATCACTTGACAGCCCATTAAGGTGTGTCGGGGAGCACAGTGGAAACATTGTAGTGGCAGCTTCGGCTGGAACCAGCACACTTGGCAACACATATATGCCACATCTGTTTGAATGTATGGTGCCATCATGGAATTATCCTGACTCTGGATTACCTAAACAAGTTTTGAAGTTGTCAAATGTTGTTCATCTTCACACGATGTTGTGAGGTGGTCTAACCCTGGCTGGGTTCAGCTGTTATCCTGTCATGTGTGATGGTTCTAAATGAAGGAAACTGCGCTGATAGTTGTAGAAGTTTGTGTTGACGGGGCTGTCCATGTTTTGCATTGGCAATGAACCGCTTGTGTCGTTGGAGTGTACGGGGAATCGTGCGATTGGTTGATCGCTATGTCTTCGATGTTGGTGAGTTATTGTTCCTATGTTTTATGTATGTCCATGTAATTTCAGCATCCTTGTCAGCTCGGTCAGGTATCACTCACAAACTTATTTCACAACATAAACAAGCATCTTACTGTCAGTGTTGCTAGTTGATTGACTTGATATACTGGCAAATGAAGACGAGTTTCACTTAATGTACCCAGGAATCCATCCTGTACCTGATGGGTAGGAAGTGGACAGCCATTGTGTGCCTCTGTATAGACCTCTCACGTCCAGCCTGTATAGACCTCTCACGTCCAGCTGTTTCCTGAATTACTAATAACGCGAGGAGTATTGTTATGTAAAGGGGAAAAAATGGGTTAACATGTAGACATATGGGACCTAACATGGAAACATGTGTCATTTGAGACAGGACTCTGCCACCTCTGTCAATCTTACCATATATACCATAGCTCATGTCAAGAGGCATAGATTTTTGTGTTTCAAGGATTCAAGTGACTTGTTTCCATGCTGAGGTGGTACAGCTGCTACATTGCTTAGTACACAGCAAGGGTCGGTGGGGTAGCCTAGTGGTTAAAGTGTTTGCTCGTCACACCGAAGGCCCGGATTCGATTCCCACATGGGTACAATATGTGAAGCCCATTTCTGGTGTCCCCTGGTGGATATTGCTGGAATATTGCTAAAAGCGGCATAAAACTCAACTCACTCACTCACTAGTATATAGCAATCACATGAACACACTCCCTCTGTCTAATTCATTCTCTTAGAGTGATCAACAGTAAGAACAACAAATGTGATATATTTAGTGGGTACCCGGTGGGATAACCAGGAAGGTTGTGCTATGAAACCATGGATGCCTCATACCGCTCAGGAAGCTGATACTGTTACACAGGTAATGGTGTTGGAATCTGTGTGTTCCGAAGGATGGGTTTGAAGGCAGAGTTTATGTACTTTGCACTGTAAATAGTAATAATATAATTACCATTTCCATTAGTACCGTCTCCTTTTGTTTTATATGGCTGGTATATGGCCAATTGAGCATTTCATGAACCAGATGAAAAGGAATAAATCATCTTAGTAGATCTATTGTTTTCACGGACAATGATAGCATTGTGAAAGAGGACAAGAGCGGTGATGAGACTTTGGTAGGTGTTGGCGCCTTCATTCATGTATATTGATCGTATGTACGCTATAGTGACTGTGAGTTTGTTGTGAGCCTGTGTTAGGGGAGATTACATACCCTGCTGGTGACAGAAGACAACATTACCACATGTACAAGTATTGATCAGGTACATCCTATTGTCAAATGTCGCCACAATCACAGAACACTCAATGAGGCAGAAAATTCTGAACACATTGCGATTTTTCTGTTAAGGGAAATCCCCCATGCACCTAAGTGGAGTCAATACATGGGTTCACTATGGAAGGAGACAATTATAGGTGTATCGTGAGGTGATCGTCCCACGCTCCTCTGTATCAGCTTGGCGTCAGTGGTAGTCTAGGCGCTCTGGCCAAAGCTGTTGCCATGTGTGATAAGGATGATAATTCCGGTACTGAAGTGTGACTAAATGCTCAATTACTGTTATAACTGGTAGATGTTTAGTGCTTCCATTTTGATGTTTAAGATTCATCTATGAGTTGACTGTGTTTGATAAACACATAATATAGTTCTTCTGATCATTGTATATCTATTGATTTAAATTTGAACAAGCCTGATAGTACTTATACTTTTCCTTCTTCTCTCATTACATTGTGTCGGGGCGGTGGGGTAGCGTAGTGGTTAAAGCATTCGTTCGTCACGCCGAAGACCCGGGTTCGATTCCCCACATGGGTACAATATGTGAAGCCCATTTCTGGTGTCCCCTGCCGTGATATTGGTGGAATATTGCTAAAAGCGGCGTAAAACTAAACTCACTCACTCACTTACTCAGTACATTGTGTGAGAGGATCAAGAGGTAGTCTCTCATCTCCTTTTTGTTTGTAGTCAGTGAGGAAGTGCCACAATAAATAACTTTCATTAATATTTTATATATATGTTAGCTATTATTTGCACATGTATAAATTGGCAGTGGATAAATAATATTGGAAAGAGTATTCCCATTAATACTGTATATTTCAGCGATTTCAGTGTAGTGAATATATACAAGCGAGATACTGTGCAATTCTTTATAAAATATGATTTTCTTAATTGTATGCTCTGTAGCTCATGACACAGCAGGGGCGGTGGGGTAGCCTAGTGGTTAAGGCATTCGCTCGTCACGCAGAAGACCCGGGTTCGATTCCCCACATGGGTACAATGTGTTAAGCCCATTTCTGGTGTCCCCCGCCGTGATATTGGTGGAATATTGCTAAAAGCGGCGTAAAACCAAACTAACTCATTCACTCATGACACAGCATAAAGTGCAGAGTTGCATCAATTACTTTGTGTAAGGATCTCCTGATTTGGTTCTTATTCTGATTTGAGGTTAAAACCAAATGATCTATCAGATGGTGTAACTCAAAGACTGCCTGGTATTCCAGTATCTGTGTGGGCGATGGGGTATCCTAGTGGTTTAAGTGTTTGCTTGTCATGCCGAAGGCCCAGGTTCGATTCGCACATGGGTACAATGTGTGCAGCCCATATCTGGTCACTTTCTGTGGGGATTGCAGGTTAGAACTATTGATTCTGGGTTAGAACTGGTGCTGGTGCTCCACATAACATGCCTGTACATAGTACCATTATCATTCTAGATTAGAATTAGTTCCCTACAATCTATTCCTGGGCCTAGATTTTCGAAGCTCTCTTAGCGCTAAGATAGTCATAGGTGCCATGCATTAACATTAACTTACAACTATCTTAACGCTAAGAGAGCTTCGAAAATCTAGGCCCTGTAGTATAACTAGGATTCTGGTTGTGCTGTCAGGATTCTTAGTGTTCTGTGGGGATACTGGGTAGGAAATGCTCGAACCAGCATCCAACTCTGATCATAAGACGTGACTAAATGGATTGGGTTATGTGGCTCTGGGACTGTGTTAATATAGTATATGTCTTCCTAACAGCATGGATGGTTGCTCACTATATCAACCACTGGTTTGTCTGGCCAGACCAGGGCCTAGATTTTCGAAGCTCTCTTAGCGTTAAGATCGTCGTAAGTTAATGTTAATGTATCGCACTTACGACTATCTTAGTGCTAAGAGAGCTTCAAAAATCTAGGCCCTGATTACTTAAAGGTCACTGTTACATACCTACTCCATGGTGGAACAACAACAAGCAAACAGAAATGCAGGACAAAGGATCTAAAATTTAAGGTTTAAACAAAACTGAGAACATGAGCATACTTTCAGCTGAATTTTTAAAATATTTTTTGCATTGTTTTTTAAATTTTTTTCTCTTGTTCAAAAGTTTCATGGCGACTTGAATGTTTTGCCTCCTTGACTACCAAAAGAAATCTGCCACATCCATCTTGTTTAATTACAGGAACTGCATTCTCAAGTGGAGTCTCATAGGAGAACCATGCAATTAGTTTCCTGTCATCTTTCAGTATGAAATTAAGATGGGATCCCACTGCTCTCTCATTAGACTTTTGTAGAAGGTTAAATCAAGTGACTTAATCATCTCTGTGATGTAGTGCCATGCCGACTGACTGACCCCTTGAGACTCACATGTTTATAGTCATGTAGAATGTGGTCCCTGGAGACTCACATGTTTATAGTCATGTAGAATGTGGCCCCTGGAGACTCGCATGTTTATAGTCATGAAGCATATGACAGCATTGGACCATTGCCCAACACCTGGTGTCATCACTGATCATATAATATGCTGTTTTGACTTTTATGCCCAGAGGAATCTGTTTTGATAGGTAATCAAGACAGTTTATTCCCTGGCATTGACAGTATATATCTGTATATGTTACAGTTCCTGAGCTGCTTGTCTCATACCCCCATGGGTGTTCTGGGTAAGAATGGTTAACATGGTTGTCTGTGTCTAAACCATTGGTATGTCAGGATATCAGTGTCATCTATGCTTATCATCTTCCAGACTGGGAATTGATCTTCAGCAACTCATGCTTGTCGTGTGTGAAGCCCTGCCATTAATATTGCTGGAATGTTGCTAAAAGTGGTATAAAACTCACTCACTCATGCTTGACGTGTGTGAAGCCCTGCCATTAATATTGCTGGAATGTTGCTAAAAGTGGTATAAAACTCACTCACTCATGCTTGTCATAAGAGGCAACTAAAAGGATCGGGTGGTCAGGCTCGCTGACTTGTTACAGGTTAGCTGAACTTGTTAGCTGCCAATGTTTGTTTTAATTACTAGCTTGATAGATCAGGAGGTAAGTCTGCTGACTTGATTGATAAATATCATCGTATTACAGTTGGGTAAATTGATGCTCGTGATCTTAATCGCTGGTTTGCGTGGTTCGAATTTGAT